CCAGCACACTGGCTGGGGAATTCTGGGAGTTGAAGTCCACACGTCTTAACGTTGCCAAGGCTCAGAAACACTGATCTAACGCCTTCCTATTCATTTGCCTGCAAGGAATTCATTTATCTAGATTTACATTTTTGTATCTATTGCTTCATGATTTAATATATAACTTAAGAAGAATTTGTACAAGGGTTTTTGGTAGCGCTTGTGAATATCCTACCAGGGCTGAGGAATCTCTGGTTTTCCTGTAGCGATTGGACCCAAGTCTCCTTCATCCCTGACCATCTGATGCGTTTTGGGGCCCAGCACCCCTCAAAGGCCTCCGGTGGCTCAACAGGGACCGTTTTTTCAAAAAAGCAAAATTTGGGGCGCGTCGGCACAAAACCCCGGTGGCCCCCGCGATATTTCGAGATGCGTAAGGTGGGAAAGAGCTAAACGAGACGGGTCTGAGGTGGCCGGGACGGTCCAGCAGCTCGTCTTGGGGCATCTTCTGCCCGCCCGACCTGAACTCTGCCCCCCAAACGGTAGCTTCTCGGCTCAGACTAAAATCACGCTTCCAGTCCTCGTGGCTTTTGCCCTGCTTTGAACAAGGAGCAGAGAAAGCGACTAAGCAGGACCACTGGGTTCGTCTGAGGCTTGAAATGTCCTTCTGGCTGGGAAAACTTTTTCAAGATCCCCCACCCCACCACATCCTCCTTGAGATGGTTCGAAAAGGAAATTTGCTCCTTCCTCTCTCAGGGCATCCCCTGCCCTCCTCTTCCTCCTCCTCCTGGCTGGCATCCTGCAAGCCCTTTTCTCACCGATGCTGGAGGGGGCTGTGTATCGCCCCCGTGGGGTGGCCCGTCAGCTGCCTCTGCCCGAGGACCAGGTGGGGCACGAGCCGGGGTGGCTCCCCCCCTCCCGCCCCTCCCGATGCTCCGCGGGAGCCGTCGCCGCCCCCCCGGAAGGGCTCGGCCAATGGCAGGGAGGGAGGCAGATGTGTGCCCGGCCCCTAGACTAGTTGGCGGTGCCCGGATGGGGAGACAAGGCTCTCGGCCTTGTCTATTTGTGTTCGTTTCTTTAAACGCGGCGTTGAGGGAGATGCTGGCCTGGATTCAAAGCAAGGGTCTGTCTCGTTGTTGCTGAATGAATGAATCATCTGTGTGTGTGTGTGTTTCCCTCCCCATTTTGTTTGGGCGCCTTTCCCTGTTTGTTTAAGCGTTTCCCATCCGCCGGAGGCCCTCGCCCTCCTCTGTTTGAAATCGAGATGGAGGAGAGCAGCTTTATTTAGCAAAGCATTTTCACAATCCAGGCCCTGCAGGGACGTCACGGGCTCGACGCGGCAGCAACGCCTTTTCTCTCCCCCAACATCCCCATCCTTAGTATTGTCATGGCCATTTCGGCAGCGCTGAAGCACCTATCGAACGGCACGCCTCGTCCTGCCCTGCGTTCTTGCACCCCGGTGCAGCGCCCTATCGAATAAAAATCGGCTGTTTTCCACTTCCCAAACAAGGCGCGTGGCATTCGGGCAGGAGAAAAGGCCCATCTCCTGTCCTTTCTGGATAAGATGCGCATTTATTAGCTGAAATGGGCTGTTTTCAACTTCTCTTGCATGCCAGCTGGGGAATTCTGGGAGCTGAAATCCACCCATCTTAAAGTTGCTGAGGTTGAGAAATACGCCTCTAGATCAAAACGTGACCGATTCAGCCTAGCTTCTACCGAAGCAGGAAGAATCACTGGGAAAACAGAGATCACAAAGGACCCCCAGAACGCGATAAAAGTTTCGGAACGAGACCATCTGCAAAGCCTGCTTGCTGGAAGCAAGCTTTATTTGCTTCGATGTTTTGCAGCCGGTATCATTTTGGATCGTTTAGCATTTGGCCCTTGGTGATTTCACTGCAGCCGACAGACCCCCGAGCCCAGAATGGTGGTTCTGGATTTTTTTTTGCTGCTTTTGCATTTGCCTCTAAATCGGCTGGGGACCATCGACTGGCGTGGAGGATGGAACTTCCTTGCCGTTGGCTGGTGGGACGGGGCAGCGAGATGCCGCCCTGGGTGGGTTGCAGCTGGGGGGTAAAATTTCAGGAGATGGGAGGAAGAAACGCGGGCCGTTGGGGTGGGCGAAAGCAGGCCACGGATGCAGAGAGGAGGGCACCTCTCGAACGTTTGTGAGCTAGGCAGGGGGTGAACGCGTGCCAGCTGCCCTCGCAACACTACATGTGTCTCGTTCGCAGGTACTCTCTGGGAGACCCAGTGGCCGCCTTCCCCAACAGCACCGAGGTCAGCTTTGCCTACCCCTCCCCTCCCCTCGCCTTCATCCCAACTCCTCCCAGTGTCCTCCAGTTGACGAACCAGCGACTCTTCTGCTCCCCGCGTCGGACATCGTCCTCCTCTCTGCCCGGGCGGCTGAATCGAGCCCTTTCGCTTGGCACGATTCCTTCCCTGGCCAGGACTGGTAAGCTCCACCTGTTTTCTTCCCCTCCTTCGGCCGATCGTGTCTTGTCCAAGTTTCTAGTCCTTTGTGTATTTGGCCTCCCTGAAGACACGATAGCTGGTTTTCCTTGCAGAAGTACCTATCGAATCGGATACTTTACTGTAATATACAAGCTGATGCATAATCACAGTGAAAATAAATTTAATACACGCATATAGAAAAGTTCAAAGTTTACCAGATTTTTAAATGGCTGAGTTGTCTAAGGTTCGCTAGTCTTTCGTTCATGAGGGCTGTGTTTAAGTGTCTTAACGTCCAGCTTTAACAATCTACCCTGCAATAATGTTGTAGCTGGTGATTTATTAACGTCCTTCTCAAGGCCTGGCAAACAAGCTTGGAGCTTGTCTCTTCTATGAAATTCACGGCCGCACCTGTTTGGAAAAATTTGCTTTTCCCCAGCACCGCAAACACGCTCCAAAAAATAAATCCATAAATCAGCAGATGGGATTTCTGGCCCAGGGGAGGTTTTAATTGCCTTGCCTCTCTGCTTGTCTTCTCATTCTGATCATATCGAACCAGCTCCTGTGGCAGAGAAGGGTTTTGGAGTCAGCTGGGGATGATGGTCTTCCTGTCCCTCCTTACACTCGCCATCAGGGTCTAAACAGTGAGCTTCCGTGCAGTTCTTTAAAGTAGATTATACAGATTCAAAGAGGGGGAAAGGGCTTAGAATGGAGATGCTTAAGTAGAGCTTCTGTGTTCAAAGGCAGTATACCTTAGTGCAGAAGTAGAAGAAGAGAAATGCAAAAGTGCTAGAAACAGTACAGATAAAGAAAAAGAGAAAAGAAAGTGAAAGACGCAGCTTCCAATCTTCTTTACAGCAGATACAAACTTTTATCATTTCTCCCCCTTTAGAATTACATGATATAGTTCCTTTCTTCCCATATTCAGCCCTTTTTAATCAGCAGCTCCCGAAATCACCCGTGTTTTTCCATCTTCCATATAAGAACTTGCTGCAGTTACTGTATACACAGACAGTTACCTTTCTGATTGGGTATCCATAAATCCTAATTAAAAAAGTGCTGGTTTCATCTGAATATTAACTTTTATTTTCTTTGTCGAGACTCGGGCTACCTGTTCAGCGGAAGTCGGCCGCCCTCACAAGCGTCCTGCGCCAAGGACTTGGCTGCGTCAGGTGAGCGTGAGGTTCGGGTCCCTCTCTGCCCCGTACCCCTTTTTGGCGAGCTTCCTCTTTCTCCCCCCACATCTGCAACGTGGATTTTAGGGGTGGACGTGGCGCTGCGGAATCGGGCCAGGTAGATCCATGCCTACACTGGTCAAGATGGGGCCACCCCCACTGTGTGGGGGGATGGCTGAGATCTCATCTGGACTTTTGGGACACCCCAGCCCTGCTGTGGCCCCACCGAAGGCTGCCAAGATCACGTATTTGTCAAAGTAACGAATATGCATTTCGTGCCGGGCTCCTCGCCCACTACGGTGGTCATAACCCGTTTTTCTTGGCCTCTCCCGACCCCCAGAATATTTCTCACTCCTCTCCGGAAGCTGCATGCCCTCCCCGGTGCCCTCGCCAGCACCGTCGGTGGCCGGCTCAGTGGCATCGAGTTCCAGTTCCCTGCGTTACCGCCGGCCTCTGATCAGCCCCGCACGGCTGAATCTGAAAGGGCAACGGCTGAGGCTCTTCACGGGGCAGAGCGAACTCCATCCCGGGGAAGATTTTGCCCCCTCGGAAAACAGCATGTTTGCTCCAGATCGGTCTGCCTTCCCAAAAAGGCACTTCAGGGATCAGGGGCACCCAGGTACGTCCCGTCCGGGCACATCGGTGAGTCCCAATGCAGATTCCGGACAGTCTCCAAGGACAGTCCCGTGGATCCAGCATGGCTGTAGCCTAGCCTTCCTGATGCCTTGGGACTACACTTCCCAGAATCCCCCAGTCAGTGTATTTATTGGCCGCATTAGCCAGGACTCGTGGGAATTGTATCTCAAACCAATCTGATCCTTTTGCGAAGGCGTGCTCTGATACGCCAACAACAGATTCCTTGAGATGATCTCTCCCAAGTTTGGGGCCATGCAAACCGAGACATTAAAAACCAGAACTGGGTGATTTAGGGAGAGCTAGGTTGATAACTTGGTTTGTCTACTTGTAAGAATTTAGGAAACTGGCATCGAGAATCAGGGTTTTTCTGGGAAAAAAGTTTCAGGGGAGCAAAATGAAACCGCTTGGGAGTTTCAGCTTTTGACTTCCCTGCAGATGTGACAGCTGTGGTGGAAGCCAGCAGTGTCTGCACTGAGGATTCAGCTAAGAAAGGGGACGGTTCGTCACACTCATCGAACTGTGTCGTTGACACCACAACACAAGAAGAGCCTTCAGGCTGGAAGAGTAAGTTAAATATTTCTTAAACTCCTCCCGCCCCCCAGTTTTCCACGATAGGGAACATCTTCCTGGCAGCTTGGATTAATTAATAAAGAGCTGATGATCACGATGGTTGAAAGTTGTATGCTGCCCGACTCTCAGTGGCTCTGCGCAGTGGTCTGTAAGTCACCCTCCAAATAAAATAAAATAAATAATAAATAAAATGAGAATAAATAAATAAATAAATAAATGCAAATGAAATAATCAAGTAAAATAAAATAGGCAAATAAAGGTCCGTAAGTGACCCTCCAGTGGGGAAAGCCACCATCCGAGGAATGGAAAACAAGACACCCCAGATACAACCCCCCTTTCTCAGACCGATGATTATCAAGCCAACTGCCCCCTCTTCTGTTTTAGTCAGGTCTTGACCTTAGCTTCTTTCCAACTTTCTTTTTTAATTGATTGCTTTTTTTCCCCTATCATGTTAACTGAATTAAAAAAAAAAAAAAAAGTCTTTGAATTGTGACCTTTGGTGAACCGCCTTGGAAGTTGAAATATTCAACATCCGGTCCCCACTGCAGACCCTAACCGGTCTTTCCCAAAGCTTTGCTTTTGGAAATCGAAAGAGCGGGTGGTCCAAACGGGCGAGGACCCTGACCGTCTTCCTCCTCGGGGGTCCCTTCCTTCCTAGGCCGCTTCGGGAACCTGCTTCTCCGAGGTCTCCTGGCCCTCAGCCTGACGGTCAACGCCATCTTCACGTCGGCCTACCTCTACCAAACGTTGCGATGAGCCTCGGCCCCTGAGAAGCGGGGCGTCTTCCCCGTTTTCCTCGCCCTGGAGGCCGTGATGCCCGGGCACCACGAGGACCTTCGCCGCCGCCTCGCCGTCTCCTGCAGGCAGCGGGATCCGGTCTGCTTCTCCGATGGCCGTTCCTGCCCCGACTTTCCTCGCCTGCTTCTCCACCACCCAAGAGCCCTTGTCCGAAAACAGCCCGTCCCGACCTGCAGGACAATCTCTTCGGCCGTCGGCGGATCGGGAAGCGCCCTGACTTTGCCTTTGATTTGTACAGAATGTGGGATGAATCCAGAGGTGGGGCTTGGAAGGCCGAGGGCCAGAAATGGATCGCGTTGCATCGCGTTGTGCCCTTCGGCAGCCTGGCTTCTGTCGCAAACCTCGAATGGTGGCTAAATTCTGGCTCACGGGGAGAACTTAGGAACTTGGGGGGGTCCTGCTCTCCGCCCTCTTTGGTCTTCCAGGCCCCGGCCTGCTTTTCCCAGTCTGGTGGAGGGGAAAAACAGCCCATTGCTTTGCTGGATATTTTGTCGATCAGCGCCGGCTCGCGTCCAGCATCTGGTCACTTTCATTGCTTTTAAATTCGAGCTCGTCTGGGATGTTTGGAGACAGTCTCTGTTACTGTGTGTGTGTGTCTTCAATTTATTTATTTTCAGGGCCAGGAAGACCCTGGCGTTGCAGCCACTTTTGATTTGGCAGCAAGCAGTATTTCTGTCCGCAGCCTAGTTCCTCTGGGTAGCTCTCAGTTATTTTCACTCGGCCACACGAGGACCGAGTAGCTTTGCAAAACGAGTTTCTCGGCAGCAGGGGACACCTGTGCAAAAGAAAGCATTTTTCCACACTTCAGCGGCCCAAATCTGTACTAGGTTTACTTATGAAATCCTGCCTCTTTTTCCAGAACGAGAAATTAGAGAAACGAAAACCATCTCAGGATGTGACTTCTGGCGCAGGTTTTTTTTTTCCCCCAGGTGCTAGCTTCTTTAAACCTTCCTTGCTTGGCCCAGGTTGGCCGGCCAATGATAACACTTCTGTCTTAGCCGGCTGTGCAGCATGGGTTAGAAGGTTGATTTCTTTTGGAACAGCATGACAAGGATGGGCGTCTTCGAGGCCTTTTCTGCCCTTTGGCAACCAAGGAAACTTTTTTTCCAGTCTAGGCCAAGATGGAGGCCCACCGCTTTATCCCCCCATGATCGTGGCTCGGTAGCGGGATGTTAAATGTCTTAATTCCCGGTTGCTCGTGGATGGTGCAAGATGTTCGCTTGGCCTCGAGTCCCCCTTCCTCTGTTGGAAAACTTCCCAGTCTCTCCCACCTCACAGCAATCCTGGAAACCTCTCTCGCACGTGTTTATTTTCCAGAAACTTTAAATGGTGCCTTGGGTTAAGCGGGTTTTTCGGCTTGCTTTAGAAGCCTGTCAGTCCTGCTTAACCCAGGCACGGTAAAGTAAGTTTCTCAAAAGTGGCGTCCTCCGAAGGTGTGTCGTCCCCACATGGCCTTGCAAGCCAATGTGTGGAAGGCAGGGTTTTTTTTTCTTAATTCAGCAAAAAATGTGGGGGGGCGTGACAGAGCAAAACCTGTATCTTTGGTGCTAAAAGACACTGTTATAGTCACACGGGTGCAAAGTGTTCCTTTTCTCACAGCGTAAGTCCTAAAAGTTCCACCGTTTGTCTTAATTACTACCCCTTTTCTCACGGTGTTTTTTCACTCTTTATTAAAAAAGGGGGTTGGGAAAAAAACACTCAAGCCATTTTTGTTTCTGCCCTCAATTTTTCTTTCCTCGGGCGTGGGGTCGAACTTCTTGCTTCTTTTTTCGAGTTTCATCCTGGCCACTGAGTTGAAGACGCGTCCTCCGAAAGGGATGTTTGTTTTCAAATCGGCCACATTTCTGCAGAAGCAACCGCTCTCTCCATATTCCAGCATCGATGTATCTTTTGGTAAACGCGCACACCCTCACACGCACCTCTGTCAGTACTCCATGAGGACTAGCTCCTTGCCGAATGTACAGGAATGACTTTCCAAATACACTGTGTCCTGCGAGGCTTGAATTTTAGGATGGGTGGGAACGCCACTGAATGCATTAAAAAAAAAATGGTGGAATCTTTATTTCATTTTATACTTCAGGAGGGTGGGGAGAATCCACCTCTCAACGGTTTAAGAATTTATGCTGGAGGACAGGGAGTTTTTCCCCCCTCCCTCTTTTTTTCCCTCTGAGATGTTTATGTTCTGCATTTGAAAGATTATTTTTCTTTATAAAACCGTAAGAATAAAGGTGATGTTGCATCTTGAGTGCCGTTTCTCGTTCTTTTGTTATAGAGGGAGGGAAATGCAGAAAGCAAACGCTGTTTCATTAAGCGTCCTGCCCCAGTTGCTAAATAGCAGAATTCGCTTTTTGCAGCCTGGGGACCCCCGCCACCCACCCAAAGGCCGATCATTCTGCAAGTTGAAATCTATCTTTTTTCAAACGCTTCAGTGGAGGTGCCAGAGGGCAACGAATCAGCCTGGCCAAGTCTGCCTTATTTCCCCGTGCCAACGTTACCCCAAATCCACGTTACGCGTACCTTAGACCGTCCTGTAAGAAATTCACAGGCTGCTGCTGCTGCTGTACGGAAGGGGAGGCCGTTCTTAACCTTTCAGAGTTGCTTCTGCTCTGGTGTGCAACAAAGGCGCTGGGCCACGCTTAACAACACAAAAGGAATATGGAAAAAAAAAATGAAAACGGAATTTTTCGCATGAGGTCTGATGATAGGGTAAGGAGGCGCGCCCTCTTGTGGACACGCGGTGCCATTTCACCCCGCAAAGGTTTTCATTAGTTTCAATTGGATTGATTTCATATAAAATCACACTTCCAAAACCACGTGGAAGCCAGCAGCAGCAGCGTGGTCCGTGACCCGCAGCAACTGGCCTTTCGTGGGCACGATTCACCACTTTCCCTCGGGCATCTGCTTTGATAAAGATGCCGCCTGCCCTTAAATTCCATTTTAAAAGTTTCTTGGGGGGGATATGACCCGGCGTGGCCACAAGGGGGCGGGCTTTCCTCCCCTGCGCGTCCCTTTGAAGATGCAATTTTTAATTTGCGGCTGCGGTTTTAATCTTGACGCCCTTCGGTTATTCTGTAATTGTTCGCCACTTTGATGGCCTCTTCCTCCCCCCCCCCCCCCCCCCCCCGTTGCAATGGCCAAGCTTAAACAATTTGGGATCTAAATAATTATATCATGGATTTTTATATATTTTTTTATCCGTTCCCATGATAAAATCACGTCTTAAAACACAGCAAGGAAAGTATTTTGCTCCATCGACTGCCCTGCTCCTCCTCCTGCACTTTCCAGGGTCCCGGGACTAGGATTCCCATCGTCTCCCGTGGAAGTGGATTGGGGGTCATGAGAACACGACGCTGACACGTGTAGGAGCGCCCAGGCTGGTTAAGAGAGATGAAACCGTTTTGGACAAAGAGTTCAAAAGTGGGTTCAACCGCATTTGCGGATGGCCTGAAGGCAGACCCGGTCATAATTTGGGGAGAGGAGAAGTGGCCCTTTGCCAGCGGGTGCCAACGCTGCTCGCGGGGTTCCCCCTCGCTTGGCAGGTGTTAGATCAGGGCGCCGGGTTGTCCCCTTTATCCGAAATACTCTCGGATGCAGACACGTCTCCTGAAGGGCCGCCGCTGAGTTGAGCTGTGGCAAGAGCAGCCCAGAGCACGGGCAGAGTGCCCGCTCTGC